GCCTTACCTTGGTTAGCAAGGATGACCAGAAACTTCTGTAAATTAGGAGCTGAGCCAATCACAGTGGGCAATCCAGCTAAGCTAGACTCCCATCTCCAGGGTCCAACCAACTGACAGGAGCAGAGACAAAAAACAAAGCGTACAGTGAGGGATACCCTACAGGCATACCCTTTGATGATTTTGCTAAACAATGGAGTATATTTGACAGGTTCCTATACCTTACAAAGTATCGGAATGATTACATTAACTTGTGATGTTTGGTACTTTCCTTTGGCATTTACCCTGAGGTCCACGGTGGCGGCGTTACTGAGGATGGAACCTGACACTTTCTCTCCCTATCAGGCAATATGACAGACTGCATTTATGCTTAAAAATGAATTAGAGACAGAAAATTTTTTGTCTTATGACTGCTAGCTTATTTTCCCTGCAAGACACTGATCATTACTGAGGCACCTTCAGAATCATTGCCTCTCTGCACAATAGAAATCAACAGACCATCCGGGGAGGTGGTGAGGCAAGATGAAACTGTTCGATAAGAAGGAGAAAAGGGACAAAAGTTTATCAGGTGTAGAGGAGGATCGTGTAAGAAACAATCCACCCTGTCCCAAATTACCAAGTAACTTTTCAAAGAAGAAATGCCCACCTTTTGGCTAAAGTAAAAAAGGTTGTGTCGAGTTTTGTGGCATCCCTCTTTCTAGTTATTTGCCAAGGCAGATGAGGAACTAAACTTGTCAAGTGGGTCACGTAAAAGCGAAAAAGCGGACGCAATTTCGACTTCTTATGCAGCCTAAGGGAGTGAGAATCCCAAAACCTCTTTAGATCAAGCTGTGGAGAGAAGCGGCACTGAATTTTGGGCAATTTTATTCACATAATTGATTCCTTAAATAAAAAAAATCCTCATCTCCATCTTGGTGTAATAACTCATTGTCGCATGGAGCGACTTGTCAAACGTCCGTCGGTATTGATACATGTGCGTTATTAGGCGGAGGTACGTCAGTCGCTGCAACCATCCATCCATCCATCCTCATTCCTCCTTGAGCTGCGTGGCTTTTAAAGGTCATGTAATTTCTAGCCTCTGATAGTCAGTTCGTCCCGAACCTCCCCACCCCTTCCCTTTTAGGATAAAAAGATGGCCTTGAAAAGTCTGTTTACTGAAAATTGCTACACCAGAGAAATGCAAGAGTCAAACAGTCATATTTCGCTGTCCCAGGAACCACTCATGAAAGTGATTTTTAATCTTCCTGCCACCGGTCTCAGCATCAGTGATGTCCACCCCCTCAGTAGTCCCTTCGGGGATCCAGACATCCTGTGACATGGTCAACCTCGAGTCCGAGGTCACTTCAGCTCCTGCTTCCAATGCTTGTTGTGCGCTTAGGCTATGGCTGGCAGCTGCGATGGGTTCACCAGGAAACATGTATTCTAACTCTCTGCGTAGGATAATTCGATCTGCAGGTAGACCGGTGAAATTCACCTTGAAGAAGTCTAGGTAACTGGACTGGGAGATGAGGAAGGCGGTGAGACTTGTCAGTGAATCAGGAGGAATGGTCTCAGTGGTGAAACGAAATGTCGAAAGCTCATCTGAAAAGTATCATGGCAAGGAAAAAAAAGGTGTCAATATCTCGGTGAAAAAGTGCCTCAAGTAAGCCTTTGTATGCACATTTGACAAATCTTGGAATTGTGAAGAATTTGAAGGGACATTTTTGTTGTTTCTGTGGATTACATCCGCTGCAATGAATGAATTCCTGAATTTATCCAACAGCAAAACGAATCTCTATAAGAAGGGCAACTTTTTTTATTTTCTGGAGATGGTAATCAAATTTTAGTTTTTTCTGCCTTTTTTGGTACAAACATATAGAAGATGGCCCATTCAGAGCCTTTTTGGCAGAAGAAGATTGCAGGCAGTAGTAACATGGACGAACTTTATTTCTCAGTTCCATTTTTTAAAAAAATCTCTGTAAGGAAGTGTACCAACTCTCTTGATTACGATATTTTTTGCAAATGCTCTATTTTGAGACATGGTTTTCAGATAAAAGCAGACGTTAGATTCTTCCACAATCTTCCCGACATTCACAATTGACTTACCCTTTGTGTATCGCCAGGACTTATCAAATACTTTACTTATTTCGTAAAAAAATAAAATTATTTGCTACAGCAGTTGTGGTTAGTTATTGTCTTATCAAATTTTGCTTCTCACTACTTTGTTTATGAGGATGCTTAAGACTGTTCCTCTATCTATTGCAACGTCACATATATGTGACATTAAGGCAAGGAAAGTCCTTGATGGCGTTTTTTAGTCAATAGTGACAATATCAAAAGCAGAGGATCCTCCTTACTTCCAGTGCATTCTACATCACCGGAATCAAGGTACTGAGGCTAAATTAGAGTGGTGTGCTCTCCTGTCCCACGACACACCATCTACAATTGATGTCCGGAAAATTTTACAAGAAACATGCTTCCACAGCTTTAGAACTGAGGTAAACTTGGTTCATGAAGCAGACAAGCCTAACACGGATCAGGTTGTCCCAACATTTTATGTTTGAGAGTCCAGAATAGCATCCATACTTTTTGTCTGTGTCATTGGTTAAGAAAGCCACTCGAAATAGCGTAGGCGAAAGAAACGATCTCAAGCGCTTGAACGACCGACGATACTTGAAGTCATGAACATCAACCTGATTGATTCCTGACCTATGGGCAACCACATATCCTAGTACTTGGCAACGCCTAGTCATGTACATCAACTTCCTAATCAGTGATTTTCGTTTTCGTTGAATAGTCGGACTTCACTTTACCAGAGTCGGAGTTCGCAGAGATGCTACAACTGCTCGAACTGAGGATTTTTTAAGCAATTTCCCTTGCAAGATGAACTAAAGCATTGTTGATAATAGATCAAGTATCAGAATTAACTGCTCAGAAGATGGTTTGGATTCTTGGTATTTCTAAATTTTTCGAAGCCCACTTGCTTGAAGGACCTAGAAGATTTCCACAACCACATTGGCTGTTACTTTCCGTTTTTGACAATCACTGCCTCGTTTTCTACAATCCCCATGGTTGTGGCTTTAGTTATTCGGAGGTGTGATTCGCTCTGCGTCACATGTTTAGCTTCGGAAGGGCGACTTTTGTATATTCCATTCCACTCAATGGGTACGTAGTCCATTGTATTGTCCACCCTACACACCACCCGTCAGGTTGGCAGACGACGCGTGGTAGTGGGGGCCAACTACCCGTGCTGATGAAGACAGTGGCCTGCAAAAAACAGACACGGGAGATTCTTGTTTGTTGATCGGTAGTGTAGTGATATGACCTTCATCTGTTAATCGGAGACAGGTCGGTGGCAGTTGACGTACGTCAGTGAGAAAGTGACTTCAGGTTCACAGTTCCATTAGTCACCCCCCTGGACATTCTATCAGCACGTAAGACGCCTAATTCTGTACGTATTAGAGATGTGTAGCCTTTTTCGGCGTTAACGTTGAACGCACCACAACCCTTGAACAGCATCGGCACTTACTAAAATCTTAAGCTAGTGGGCACACGATGATAAAGCAGATTATTTGAGACTGGTTAGGTAGTACCAAAGTTTTTCCTTTTTTATCTCAGTAATGTTCGGGAATAGGTATGGCGTAAAATCAGAATCTAGCTCCAAAGAGGCCAGGCTTGGCTTGAAGCAGACCCCTTTTAAAGTCTTCGTCGTTGTCCTCCTTGACTTATTTGGAAAGTGAATGAAGCAGCTATAAGGGCTGTTTTTCAACTGCTGCATAAGATAATTTATTCAAGTTCTCAAATCGCAAGATAAAAGGAAAATTGATTGAAAATACTTACCGAATACAGTGTTTCTACCATAGTCATACTAAAATATGAAATAAGTAGTATATTCAGTAAGCTGTAAATTCGAGTCACACCTTACATTTGCCAGGACAAATCGCTCATTTTTTGACAAAAAAAGGGGAAAATGGACCATTTATTTAACATCAACATAGATATCATTCGACTCAAGAGCTACTACAACAAATGCGTTAGAGGGAAAATTTGCCTAGACACCCTCATTTAAACAATTTTACACAAATGAACTTTTCACAAAAATATTTAGGAAATAGTTTGTTTAAGTCATCTCATCTTGGTTGGTTTAACAAAGTGACGGTGATTTGGACTCCAAATTTTGTGCAAGTATTTTGAGCCTAGCATTCAAAGAAAGTTGTCCGCCTTTTCCTCCATTCTAAAGGGTTGAACACTTTATCCGTAAAAGGTGCTAGGTAAAAAAATAACGAAAATGGAGCGGGGTCACAGGGACAAGTTTTAGGGGAGCCGAAATGACGTCGTGATTTATTTTATGGCGTGGTCAAGATCAAAGTGGTCACACTTTCACAGTCTCTTCTCAACAGGACCCATCAAAAATGTGCTGCATAATGTAGGAGAAAATTTTGACAAAAGTTTGCCAAGTTGTCAAATTTGACAAGGTATCCGATAGCATTAACCCCGTGTCTGGGTCGATAGCTCTAATCTCCAAGGCGGAGACGAATTCTGACCCTCCAACCCCAAATCTGGATAATTGGTATACCTTCTTTATACTACTCAAATGTAAAAAGCCTTTCTTTAATCAATCTTCTCTGTCCAAGATTCTGAAATTGCGGTGTTGCTCATCCATTCTTATCAACTGTTATTGTTGTATGATATAGTCTTGAATGAAATCAAATCAATAAATCAAACTTTTTTTCAAAGAAGGCCAAGGAGTTTGCGCTTGCATTTGATTGTCTATAGAAAAAGAAAAAAGCTGTCGAAGGGCACTCCGTACACACAGCGCCACTCACAAAGGTGGATGATCTCCCCATTCAACTGGTAACTCTAGGGGTCGCAAACTCTTTTACGGGAATTTGTCCTAGCAAAGAGCTTTTAGCCACCCTTCCCTGCTTCTACCCACTTTTGTATACGTGAAGGGCTAAAACGCATAGCTTAGTCTTCCATAAATGGTCAAAAATGAAGGAAAGCTCCCTTTAAATTGCAGTGATTTTTGAACCTGCAGGTTGCACTTCCGCTTGGTGGCATAACCTTTGGGGCAAGCTAGTTGCTTCCCCATGCCTTTAATACATAATTAATGTGCATTCTGTTATACCACCGTGGCGTATTACAACTTCAGCAAGGTCTCGGGACACCGAATCGGTGGCAGAGGCATGCAAACCCACTCCAAAAGTGCAGCAATCTTGATTTCTGCTGGTGAATACTAACTTTATCGTGGTAGAGGGAGAGGATACGCTAAAAATTGGTGAACCCTAAAGGACTCCTTATCATGACGCCTCCCTTTGGCAAGCATCCTAGTCCCGTGTTCCACCGAAGTGATGCCAGATCCGGGCTATTTGAAAACGCCATTTTGCATAAGCAATACCACCCCTGCTTTTCTACCGGCTGAATGAAACCCAACTAAATTTCTGTTTGTCTTCTCTAAGAGGCATAACTTGTCGCGCCTAATTTTCCAAACATTTTAGAGCGTGCTGAAGTTAGCGCTTCCATCCACCTCTCCTGAGTGGCCTATGCCATGCGCAGATAGAAGTTGAAGGTGCTCTAAGAACCCTTATAAGGCCAAATCCTATTCAAATACCCTAAATCTATGTGGATGAGGCCAACCCGTCCGTCTCCAAGCCTCCAGCATTCAGCCAGCTGTCAAGTACACACACATATCGTTCCCTCAAACATTTTTGATGTCAGACTAGAGTATAGCAACTCGAGACGTCAAGTGCATGTGACATTGGCATTATGTGTTTTAATGCAGTTAATTGTATCCTTTGCTTACTATAATTGCCTGCAGTGACGTCTCGGATGCTCTCTCTAAATCCAACATCATAAATGCACGAAACGTGTCCAGTTGTACTGAATTGCGTTGCATATAGTTTACCTAAGTTTCTTACAACAATTGCTTTTGCTGATGATATAATTAGCCTGAGGAGGAAAAGTACATCAGCCTTATGGGTTTCAGGCAGTAAATGAGACCACTAAAATGTCGTGTTAAGCACTTTAAAGCAATCTTTCGGTTGATTATCTACCTCTTCAGACTCTAGCTATTTGAAGTAATTTTAGTGGGGACTTAGGCTTCCATCAAAATGGGTGATAAATGTTGCCAGACAGGAAGTGAGCCCACTAATTACATGGGAGGAATGAAAAGACCTCAGCGGATGTAAGTGAAGATATCTGACAAAGTAGCAATTACTAGAAATGGATCAGTTGTGGGATAAGCTTAATTAAAGGTTCAACCTGTGGAGTCCAAAACTTACTTAATAATCTGACAATAGAATTTGCTTTTTGCTATTTAAAACTATCAAATCTTGATGCAAAAGTGAAAAATACGCAGTGTTTTGACGAAAATATCTGTCATTTACGTAACTTATATCATTATAAGTGAGCCAAAAATGCATCTAGGCATTTCAGAGCAGTTAAGATCTTAATACTCTACTGAATTTTATTTACTAAAGTAGGTTGTCTCCATACTACCTATATATGTGAAGTAGATTTGTCACTGCTACATGAGCGCTTTAATGAAGTATCTATTATCATTAGAAAGCAGGAAACCATCACTCGCCCCCGTACATGTTTACTACGACTTACAGGACTAGGTCACCACTTTTCATGTGGGGGCGTTCTCTACTAACCTTTCAAAGCTCGCGATAAACTCGCATTATTATTTCATGGTCATCAAAAAGGAGAATACAACTTTTTCTATTAAATGTTTAGTATTTCTCTTAAAATGAATGAAACTTACGGCAATAATATTGTCCTCCACCGAGTCTGCTAATATTCCCACAAAACGGTCTCTCTAAAAATGATAGAAGGGAAAAATCAGAAAAATATGTGAACATGTCCTAGAGGCAAAGCACTCAGCTCACAGGGATGTTGATTCTGGCAAACATTAGTCTAAACCGCAATCCTTCAATGCTCCCCGAAAGTCTGTTCGTCAACAGGAACACAACTGTGTAGAAGTAACTCTGAAACACGATGACATGCTATTCAAAACACCGTTCAGCTACTTACAAATCATCAGTAGGGGGTTTTCCATTCCACTCACATGCAACCTGACTTCGTCGGACACTTGGAATCTGGCCACAGGCATTTTCAGATCGGCGATAAGTATTTCACTGCCACAGGGACGTAAATCCTCGGTGATGTAGAGTCGTGGACACTTGCAGGGCTCCACCCAATCAATGCAACATCGCTGGATGTGGTAGACGCCCAGGATGGGGGAAAAAAGTGATCCGGCTACGAGTAGAGCTAGGAAGAGCATCTTTACACGTTCAAATCTGGAGTGGATCGATCAGTTGATGCGTTTAAAAATGTCAAATCTTCCCTTAATGATTTTTTTTTAAAAATTGCAGTGGGATTTTTTATTCTTTGATTTGCGTAAAAACTCGAAATCGAATCTTTGTTGCTTTTTAAGCATTTTGAAAGTGTGATTTCTGCAAGTTTTCTAATGCTCTAATGTTTATCGTAGTCATGGGAACGTCTTTTTAAATTTTGAGCATTTCTGAGAATTAATGGAACGGAATTGACTATTTGGGACTCGAATTGGTTGCTGTTTCAGTTTATTTAGTCAAATGTCCAGTCGGTCTAGTCAATGCGGAAGGACATGTATCGCTGACGTCCAGACGAGGCGCGAGGTCATTAACATAGCCTGAAGGAACTATAGTGTCCACGCAATTTATTATGTCGGTTAAACAAAGCATCCAATCACCGCATTCGATTGATGATGTGGCATTTGATCCCTTGAGAGTTTGTGGTAGGTTTGGACTAAATCTACTAACACTGCAATCAACCGAATTTTTGTTTTTCTTTTTGACAGTGCAGGCCTTTAGTCGCCTGTGAGGCAATCCGCCCACAAAGTTCCTTTCGTGTCAACTCTTCCACGAGTCTTCCAGGTTCCCTGGGCATTGATGGCAGAGGGAATGGCAGACTTGCTAGCGGCAGGGGTTAGTGATCCACGTCAAAAGACCTATTATTCCGATTTTGTCGATTGAACGTTGTTCCAAAAGATCGGCACTGTGGATAATCCAGCCTAGGAAGACTGGCAACTGAAGGACCAATGAAATTAATTTCACTTGTGAATGTCAGCCCGATCTCGTACCCTGCACGGCGGCTGATGATTACTGACATCCGACTGGACTAGAACGTGTTGCAATCGTCTGTGAATAACCGCACCACTTTCGGATGCCCTTTGAGATAAAAACACTACTTAGATTAGCAGCTTTAAGAGGGAAACGAGGTATCGGGGAGTCGAATATTGACTCTTCCACTTGTCATGGGCAATTTTTACGGCCAGTGAGTGGCCACCTTACAGGTAAATAAGAAGACCATCGAGGTTCCTTTGGCTTCCTCAATTTTGAAGTCTATCAGCTGACCAAAAATATTCGTTTGGGTTGCTACAACCTAAAGGTGGGTCACCTAGTTTACCGGTGAGGTACTCTTTCGTGTGCTTTGCGCCACACATTCAGCTAGCACATTCCGTATGCCAAGCCATTTTCGTGGTGACATTGACCCAAAGGTCACACTAGGAAAGGGACTTTCGTCCACAGCAGTCAGCAGTCACCGTGTCGAATTCAAAATCTGGCATTTGCAGCAGGATGTACCCGCCTTCGGTGTTGAAGAAGTCAGTGCCATTCTTCATTCGGATTGGATACCACCACACCAGCATCGGAGAAGACCTTTTATGCACTTAAAGGCGTCAGAAAATCCATTTCGAGGAAACTAAAGAGTCCGAGTAATTACATGTACGACAAAACACCAGTTAAATCACTGAATTCAAAGTAATTTTAAAAATAAGGTGGCAGTTAGTGGGGTCCGTTCTAGGTCTTCCATAGTAGATACGTTGAGAGGAAAGGATCCTTTCATTTCCGGTACTTGTGCGTAAGCAGCCACTGTTTTTCGGTTAAAAAGGCTTAGTTCTCCCTCCCCCCTCCCCCAAGCTCCCCATTTCAACAGGTTTTCACACTTTAAAAGGCTAAAAATAGCCTGAAAAACGAGTCCAACCAAATTCCTCGACAATAAATTACCAGGCTAAACACAAGTCAGGGGCTTATTACTTTTTTTCATTTTGAAGCTTCCTCTTCACCACACATACTACTGCCTCAAGTTAGTATGTCATTTTCCGAGATGAGTAACCGAAGGAGGTATAAATTGTCCCCTTTCATGTCCACCTTCCACTTGTTTGCATTACCTCCGCCATCCTCTGCATCACCTGTTCATTCTATCATTTTAAAGCGTCAAGTCCGGTTAATAATTTATGGGGGTTTAAAATCGGGCCAACTTTTGGCTGTTCTCGCGACATTCAACATAGCCTGCTGCTGACCTGATTGTTATGGCGCGGATGAGTCATCGGCCGCGATGACTCAGTGAAGGCACGGCATGTCTACCCGGCCCCATTAGTCATTGGCCGCTGTGTGTGTGCGTGTGTGCAAGGAGGGAAACTTCTTCAAATATACTTTCCTTTTATCCTCCCCTTCTCTACTACAAATTGAAAGTGTACATTAATGTGGCAGCAATCACACTGTTCTACTTTTTATTTTGCGTCCCCTATTTGAAACCTACTTAGCTATCAAAAATTCCAAAATATGTTGTCCTTTTAATTGGCATTCTGAAATTAATTAATCTTGTTAAGAATTTGTTTACGAAGCTTTTAAATGGTGTGATTATTTGGCCTAATAAACCGACTGCTAAATCGTTCCACTCCAGGTAAAGGAAAATTTTCACCCTTGGAATGTGATTGGTCGGTGTGAAGGACACTGGTTACTAGTTGGCAATTTTGATTGGTCATTGGCTGTTCAGATGGCTGGCTGAAGTTAGCGCTTGGGAGAAACAGGCGTGTCAAATCTGCAAATTTTGTCATACTAGGCATTTTGACACTTTTTCCATTGACGCAATAGCCACTGAAATGGGAAACCTTTTGTGTCCTGATGAATAGTGGTGTCTCATCGAAATGGGTTTCGAAAGGGTTCCACAAAATGTTGGAAAAGCGGCTGATAGGGGATCTAACGATTTTACTAAGCATGGTCCGATGTCTGGAAATGCAGTTTCAACAGCACCTATGGTAGGGTAGGCGTTCATATGCGTTCACGTAGTGTTTATAAGTGCTGGAGAGCTCCGAAAATGACGGCTTCTCTGGTCATCCCTAATACTTCGTGCTCTTTTGCCGTTTAAGTCACTGGTTAGTCGATTGGGTCTTTAACCACGTCCGTTGGGGCATGCCGCAAGACGGAAATGCAAACTAAGTTAACAGATCGACCCAAAACTGGAAAAAAAGGTAAAAGTTGTTTGAGGATCAAGGCATTATAGGTTTCTGCCTTTTAAATTATTTGTTTTGGTTAAATAATTATACCGCTTTTCCACTCCCTCCATGAACCTAAGAGTAATCAATCATTTTACCACTAAAATGTGTCCAAAACAGCCATAATTCTTTTAAAAAATATGCTGGTTCTTGCTTCGCTTTTCCACCTCATATCTCTAGCAATGATCCTAATGCTTGGTATTTTAACCTTGTTCAGCGCGTCAACTTTATGACAAGTGTCTTTCATTATAAAGCTCGGAAAACGTGAACCTCAACGCAACAAAGAAACAGCCAAGTTCCTCATTAGTTTAAGTAATTACACGTGTTTTTTCTCATCACAACCACTAAAATCGGCTCATATTTAGTGCTAGAAAGAAATCGTAGTAGTAAATCATCTATTTCTGGCATCCACAGTTTCTATGCGTCTGGTAGATTTAGCGACTACGCTCATTTTTTCCGGTTATATTATCTTCCTTAACGAATACAAAGCGCACCTATTATCACATGGATCTGAATCAAGAACAATCATTGTTGGAAAAGAGAGGCAAGTTACTATGGCATCAGCTTAGCTCTAGCACCTTAGTTACACCCAGAATATGTTGAGGAGGGGTGCTGGGGGTAGACAAATGAGGTCATTCTGTTTTTATGCAGTAAAAGCCAACTACCCTCTCATCAAAGCACAAGATGTCTGTGGATTTCACTTTTATCAAACGGCGTGTCTTTAGGAGTTAGGAAAAGCTGAACAAGACCTTAGTCACCTTCGATTCCATCCCACCTTTATTTCCAAATTGTCTGTTCCATTTGGCATATTATCGTGTGATTGTCTTGCGTTAATGTCAAGACAGTAACAGACATGTAGAGATTGAGGGCATTGCTAGGGGATATCTGCTACTCACAAATAGCAAAATGTCATCATTTTAATGTTCTGGAGGTTTCCACTGGGAAGGTGAATTCTTGGACATTTCAGACCTTTTCCCGATTTGCACTCTAATGTGAACTAATAATTAGGATAAGGTCAAGGTCACGGTATTAATGCGCGGGGACGGTAGTCATCCGATCCACTTGCTGGCTCCCACACATCGTACTCCCAGTGTACTTTCCGTACTGAAGTTTTTTTCCCCTCGGCTATTCCTGTTGGGGCCTGAAACTGTCCAATGACTACTCACATGCTTAGCAGAAATGTTTTCAGAAAAATACGGAGGATGCGAAGGGTACAGCATTGCTCTCCCCTTTTCCGATCCAAAAGTTAGGTGTAAGGCCCTCTCACGGACATGAGAGTAGGCAATGTTACTTAAGACAGAGAAGACAAATGTTTCTCAAGAAGAAGCCTGCCTTGCACACCTTCGAGTTGCATCGAGTTACAATTTGCAGATCACAACGGCGATTGTTTGGTAGCCAAGATGAAGTGCGCAGTAAACAATTTCCTCCATATTGCCCAGCACACAAGTAAAGATAAATCAACCATATTCTGCCGAGGATGAAGTGGTGTCTTATAAGTGTGCAGTACTGAATGGATCGTGGGAATACAGAGGCCATTTCTTATCGCAAGTCAATCGGGGAGAAAACAATCTAAAATACTGAGGGCAGTGTTTCTAATGCGCACGAAAGAAGTGAAGAGTGAATCAGGCGATCTAAAGGCCTATTATCAACGCTTGACATTGGAGTGGGACCCCTTTGTTGGGTTTCCACCACGACTTTCCCTCTCCATGTGGTGTAGGCGTGGAACCGATTATTTCATTACCAGCCATTTACTCAATTTAAAGGTTACATTATCGACAATTCCTGATTGGTCAGTTTTTAATTACTTTAACCTTGATCAGGAAGAGAGAATCCTCCTCAATTTGATGTGTCAATAATTCGGGTGGTGGCGGTACGGTCTGCCATCGTGTGCCACACCCTCATTAAGGGCTTTACAACACCCTGTGCACGAAACCAACTTCCTCTTCAATCTTGTAACTGAATGAATCTTAAGTAGGAAAGCAAAGAGGGTGAAATCAACTTCATTAGATGCAACCGACACTTTCGAGGGTAAGAAAATGAGAGAGTCCAATTAAGAGTGCCGTATCGGGAGCCTGAAGTACATCCGCACCTTATAGTACATTAATGCAACACATGGAATATAATTTTACAGGTCTCCACTATTTGCAGCAAGTTGTAACAGCCAATCACACTAAAACCTGCGCAAATCTCTCCTGGAATCTGATATTTCCATTGGTAGTGAATAATAATGAATGAAAACCCCTTGGCTTGGATTGAAGCCTTTATTATAAAAGATGAAATGAACTACAAACTGAAAATCGAAAGGTTTTCTTTCAACTGCTACGCTCCAATTGACCACTGTGCCATCTGCGCTTCTCCTGAAGGTGCTAAGGCAGTCAAGTCTGAGAGTAGCTCCACCTATCAGTGCTGAGAGTGTCTAATATAACGATGCCCAACTTTTCAGTTTCCTGCTAACCGACCTTTGTGGTGTCGGCGTGGAGCTCTGCTCGTGTCACATATACTTCCAAGCCTCCAGTACTTCTGAAGGTTTTCAACAGATCTACTTCCAATCCCGTATGACCATGCGCCTGCAAGTTGGAGACGTGATTAGGGGAAGTTCAAAGGCTCTGCCTTGAAGTGTGCGCGATTCAAACAGCTTGTACCGGCTTTAATGTCGACCCACTTTGCTGGATATCTGAGAAATTTATTTCCACATTTTTCAGTTAATATATACACTTAATTATTAAAAAGCATTGGATAGAATTCGCCTTTGATTTGCCACTTTAAATGAACAATTTGTTGAAAGTAAAAATACTCGACAAATGAACAAGCGAACTGCTACCGGAGGGAGTAGGACCTTTGCCATGGATTTGGGGGCTCTTTAAGACACGGAAGGCAGGATAGGTAGAGGAAGCAGAAGAAGAAAAACAAGTGGAACACGTGCGCAATGGATGATGTGGAAACAAATTTTCCGAAGTAAGTGACTGCACCGCTAGATATGAATCGCTGCACTTCCTTAATTGTGGCAGGGATGTCGCTTCTTCCAATGGTTAACAAAGTTGTTTCCCTTAAAGGATGCTTTTAAAAATTGCCTTACTGAGAAAAGAAAAGTAAAATTGGCTAAACAGGAGGGTCCGGGGTTAAACTATGATCAAGTTGTCGTTGCTGGGTGGTGTTGTTGATGCATTAATCATGGCAAGTTGAGTTAAACAGTGAAGACCTTATAGAAATCCTGAATTAAGTAGTTAGGTTTTAGTAAAGTAGAAACTTTTTGCAACTAATACTTGAAAATTTCAAGAGATGTCAGGATTCTCTCCTCTGCGATGGAAGGTAAGGTATATCTCCATATGAGACAAAATTCAGTGGGGATGTGACAAAAACTTTAACAAAAAAATCGTGCTTACTAGGTAGAGCTACTTCCAAGGGCATCCACCTTAGGCAAATGGCATAAGTGACATGAGCAGGCTACTATGTTCCCATCATGGATATGGAATCACAGTGGAGTGGAAGAGCTCGGTCACTCAAAGAAAAGGTGGAGGAACTGTTTATCCTCCAGAGGATGAGCTCCCGCTTGGCAGCATGTCCCTCCAGCCAGTCTTGTAGACTACCGGACTTCCGATACCTTAATAATGAGTCTTCTTCCGTGTTGGTAGGTGCCTCAAGGTGCTGCATCTTTAGCAGGGATACGCAGATCCCGTTCAAGATGGAATCAAACGAACACGATGTGGATGTGAAAGTGTAACTATAGGTGGATCTACATTTAACTCACCTTCAAGCCTCATATTTTGCATTAAGGTGTTCAACAACCCAAGAAATCGCTTGCTTAAACAACTCAAAGTAATTTCAGTCATTTCCACTGAATGAGTAGAAACCTGGCTGACACCCTGACAACATTGAAAGGAGAACCAAGTTGAAAAAAAGAATTGTTCGCACTCCCCTTCCCCTCAACCGCTGCATTACTACTACTACTACTTTTGTGTCAATTTCTTGTGTAAAATCACACTAAAGAGTTAAGGACTGATTATTTGGAAAGTGACATCCCACCTGTTGAATTTTCTTTCACAGTATTAACTACCGTAATAGTGGGCTGGGCACCATCACTGACGTACGGAGATCTGATTGGCCATTGTTTAAATGTCTACACTCCTCGAATGTCTTACCATTTGGAGACCAAGTGTCCGATAGCCGTGATGTTGCCCTCTTTGAATTCCTCGCTAGATTGAAGCAGATATTTACGAGTTTCTTGCTATCAACTGAACTCACCACATGCTGTTGCATACACGTGCATGGACAACAACCATCACCACTGTTACCAGAGTGCGAGAAACGGACCTTTGAAGCATCGACCGTGCTGACTGGGAAGCCCTCGGGTTTCCAAACATTTACCTCCTTTTAAAACCTCCACTTACGTGACAGGGAATTGTACGCATCCTCCCTTCTGACAATGTAACTCCTTTTGTAGCTAAAGTGGGATTAACTCTGGGGTGCCATGAGGTAAAACGTCCTCAGTAATGCGGGGAGTAACTATGGGGATGGCATTGTTGTGGGATATGCAATAAATCACCCACTTCGCATAGAACAAGTGCTGAAAGAGGGCTGAAACTATGGTGACGCACAACAGGATGATCAGGCGAAATGTAACATCTCACCAGACACGTATTGACAGGCGTAATCCCCGTCGTTTCACTCCTTGAAGGTAAAAAATCTGTCAAACCAACAATTAACCGCTTTTAGACAGACAACTGGAAAGAAACAAGATGTCAATGAATTGGAGAAAGAAGACGATTTAAATAACGAATCCGAAGAATTCTTACCCGAATTGGGAGAGTTGAATTAAATGGGATTGTTTATTTTCCCCACGATCTTATTCAGTGTGGGAAATGCGTTTGATGCAGAATGGCATCCAACCATCTGCTTCGCTTCTACCTTGAAGATATATGAGCCAGTTAGTCTAAGATAAAAAATTTTGTATATAAATTCACAAGAGGCATCTAATTATCCTCCCACCCCCAAATGAAGAAATGTAGTACTTTCCATGGTTATTTAAGAGGTGATGACAACTAGACACGGTGAACCAAATGTCAAAAAGCGTCACTGAAATGGAAAGTGCCCAAGTGGGATAACAAAAATGGGGTAACGAGAGGTTGAAAGCAATGATATCCAGTCTCATGCGGACGGATCCAATTGGAATGATCCTTAAGGAAAGATCTCAAATGGGTTTGTATTTGACCGAACAGTTGTCGAGTTCTATCACTTTTGCAGAAAGACACCGATTCGGTGCGTGTGTAAGCACACGGATACCGTGATTTCCATCACCATCGTGGTGCCATTTTGGCCCCGTGTAACCACTCCGTGTCCATGGCCTCCCGACCTCGATCCACCCGTAAAGGCGACAAGACAACTTTATTGAATTCACTAAATGAATAAGACGTCTGAATTTGTGGCACGGTTGCGTCACCAAAATGGCACACTAAAGGAATACTTGAGATAGACAGAGGACTCACACCACCGCATCATTCAGACCACCTCCATC